CACACCCTGTATGCTTTTTAAGTACTGGGCTTGGGACCTAAACTGTGGTCAGCCACGTAACATCCATCTCACTTAAATACTAGGCTACAGAGCCAGCCTTTATTTGATTTTTTTAAAGTTTTTATTCAGGGGCCAGCAGGTGGCGTGGTGCTTAGGGTGCCAGACTTCCACTTGACTGATTGCAGTTTGAGTCCTGAATGAATCTGGTGGCTAGATTTCTCAATTTCCCTCTCTCTCTCTTTCTCTGGTCAAATTAAAATATAAATAAAATAATAATTTTTAAAAAGTTTTTATTTATTTCTTCAGAGCGGAAGAGAAAGAGAGAGATGAACATCCCTAACAGGATCATCATGCCACAATCTACCCCCAGCTTCAGCCAACCCAGATCACGTGCATCTGGCATGTACAGACAGCCCAGAATATGAACCCATGGGTCTAGCCGCATTACTCCTGCACCGTTTTTCTTTCTTTCTTTCTTTTCTTTTTTTTTTTTTTTGGAGAGATTTTCGCTATAGGGCGCGTGTGTTTGCCAGACAGACAGAGAGAGACATAGAGACAGAAAGCGAGAAATCACCCCCCAGGGGGGATGGTCATGCCGCAATCCCTTCTCCTCCATTCTCCTCTCGGGATCTTGGGCACGCACGCACACGCACCCGGCGTGAGTTTTAAGCCACTGGGTCCGGGACGCGAACCGCGGTGGACTACGTGGGAGTCCCGCGACATAGCCATTACGCTAACTGCTGGTCCCCACTCCTGCACCATTTTTAATCCCCTCAGATCTTTTAGATCATGTCATCCAACCTCTCATATACCCACCTGCCTGTTCACCAACACTCCAGACCCTAACCACATCCCTGTCTCTCACAGACGAACAGTCAACAAAAGCAGTGGTCTCGTCTGCTCCTTCACCGGAAGCTGTAAGGTCAACAAGGCCCAGCGGCGCCACTGCCCAGCCTGCAGGCTCCAGAAGTGCCTGGATGCCGGCATGAGGAAAGACAGTGAGTCGATCCCTTTCTATCCTAAGAACCTCCAGACCGTGCCTCTGGTATGTCCTTGTTCCCAACTGCACATTCTCCCCATGGCAGGCAGAGTAAACTGGGAAACCTGTCGGATTATGTCACTGTTCTGCTCGGAACCTCCTATGGCTCCCATCTCTCTTAAAGAACGTAAGCTCGGGGCCAGCAGGCGATGTTGGTAGTTAAGGTGCTGGACTCCGACCGGGTCGACCATGGTCCAAGTACCAGACCTGGTGGCTTGCTTTCTCACTTTCTCTCTCTCTGGTGAGTGCATGTGCCCTATAACAAATTTTAAAATAATAATAATAATAAATGAAATTAAATAAATAATTCTAAAAAAAGAAAGAACATGGGCTCATGGGTTCATGGGCAACTCCCCCACATAACCTCTTGGATTTCAGTTCCTGCTCTCCCTTCTCGGTCCACTCTGGCTGCACTGAATTCAATGGCATTTTCAAACACACCAAGCACACTTCCTTTGGACTTTTTTTTTTTTTTTAAGAGTTACTTATTTAATTTTATGAATTATTATTATTTTTTAATTTGACCAGAGAGCTAGAGAGACAGAGAAGGAAAGTGAGAAAGCAAGCTACCAGGTCCAGGACTCAAACCACGGTTGGCCATGTGGGAGTCCAGCACCTTAACCACCACATCACCTACTGGCCCCCCTTTGGACTTTGTTTTGTTTTGTTTTTGCTGTTGGATGTATGTGCTTGCCAGAAAGAGACAGAGAGAAGGAAAGTGAGAAAGCACCTGGGGATTGCCATGCCATAATTTCTTCTCCTCCATTCTCTTCTCAGGATCTTGGGCACACACACACGTGCACACCTATCATGATATTATTTATTTGAGAAGTTTTTGTTATGGGGCATGTGCACTTGCCAGAAAGAGACAGAGAAACAGAAAGCTAGAAATCACCTCCCAGGAAGGATGGCCACGCCGCAATCCCTTCTCCTCTGTTCTCCTCTCGGGATCTTGGGCACGTACACACATGCACCCGGCGTGAGTTTAAACCATTGGATCCGAGACTCAAACCATGGTTGACTACATGGGAGTCCAGCGACATAGTCGTTATGCCAACTGCTGGTCCTGTGGCATGATTTTTTAAATTTTATTTATTCATTTTTTGTATTATTTTTTATTTTTAACTTTATTAATTTGTTTATTTCAATTTGACCACAGAGGGACAGAGGGAGAGAGAGAGAACGCAAGGTGCCAGGTCTAGGACTTGACCCATGGTCAGCCATGTGGGAATCCAGCGCCTTTAGCCACCATGCCACCTGCCGGCCCCCTGTTTATTCATTTTTTAAATTTGACCATACAGAGACACAGAGAGTGAGAGAGAAGGAAAGTGAGAAAGCAAGCCACCAGTTCCAGGACTCAAACTGTGGTCAGTCATGTGGGAGTGTCCAACGCCTTACCACCATGCCACTTGCTGGTCCTGCCTTGGCATAATTTTTAAACCACCTGGTTCATAACATGAACTGCTCGGCCAGCCATGTGGGATCCTGCACCTTAACCCCCCACCACCATTGGCCCTCTGGGACTTTCTCACTTGCCATTCCTCCTACCTCAAATGCTCTTCCCCGAGATAGTCACCTGGCATTTTCTCTATCTCTTGGTAGGGTGGTAGTTAACATTACTGACGACCTACCAGCCTGTCACCTGGAAGGTAAACAGTAATATTAACTATACTATGCTCTCAACAAGAGATCACAGACATTAACTGGCTCAAGTTCATTCAGCTAAAAAGTTGTGAATCACATGAGAGGGTCCTGGGTTTGTGTCCTGGGGCCTTTTTGAATACCCCAAGTGCCTATGTGCCCTTAATTTAGGCTGGCTAAAATCTGGGGGTAAATTGCACCATGAAGACCTTGTTGTAAGCATACCTCTCTCTTTCTCATAGAAGACATAAACTTAAAAAATTCTTAATTAAAAACTAAAAGTTTGGTGACCAGCAGATGGCATAATGGTTACATTGCTGGGCTCCCATGTAGTCAACTGCAGTTCAAGTCCTGGACCTGGCAGCCTGAAACTCACACTGGGCATAATGTGTATGTGTGCTTAGGATCCCGAGAGGAAACCTGGGGATAAGGGATGGTGGCGTGACCATCACTTCTGGGGGTGGGGTGATTTCTCGCTTTCTGTCTCTCTGTCAAGCTCCCATGCCCTATAGCAAAAATCTCTCTCTAAAAAAATAAAACAAGTGGGACCAGCAGTTAGCATAATGGCTATGTCGCTGGACTCCCACATAGTCGACCCAGGTTCGAGTCCCGGACCCGGTGGCTTAAACTCATGCTGGGCGCATGTGCATGCGTGCCCATGATCCCAAGAAGAGAATGGAGGAGATGGGATTGCGGCATGGCCATCCCCCCGGGGAGTGATTTCTCACTTTCTGTTTCTCTGTCTGTCTCTGTATGTCTGACAAGCGCATGCACTCTATAGCAAAAACCTCTCCAAATACATACATACATACATACATACATAAATAAATAAATACATAAATAAATAAATAAAACAAGTTTCTAGTCAAGTCTATCTGACTTCTAAACTTGTTTCTCCCAAGATAGCCTGCTCCTTTCTTCTTGCTACTTTTTGTTCCCTTTTTTCTTCTTATTTTGCTATGGGGCGTGTACACTCGCCGGAGAGAGAAGAGAAAAAGTGAGAAAGCACTCCTGAAGGGGACCACATCACAATCCCTTCTCCTCCAATCTCCTGTCAGGATTTTGGGTATGCGCGCACATATACCCTACATGTTTTTCAAGTCGCTGGGTCTAGAACTTGAACCTCACAGTTGGCCATGGGAGATCCAGCTGCCTTAACCACCGCGACACCTGTAGGCCCCACCCAATACGGAGCAGTGGAAACTGTAAAAGTCAAAAGCATTAAATTCAAAAATCTCTGACACTTTGTGACTTTGGACCTGTCACTGGAATCTAAGCCCATCTATGTTCCTGAAAAATCAAAATAATACCTGCCCTGTCTTGTCAGACAACAGCAAAGTTGTTTGACCCAGTGGAATTTACCCTCAGAACCTATTACGTGAAATTATAATGTTATGCAAGCAGGAGGTGATGTTTTAGGTATTAAGACCCCTCCTTCCTCACTGTTCCCCCAGAAGGCAAACAGCTCCTCACACCTTCCCCACCCTCCCTTCTCTCCCACGGTGCATTGTTTTCTGCTGCAGCTGATGGAGGTGCATGGGACTCTCCTGCCACCCGGAGCTTCCAGGACTTCGGCCAAGCCCAGGGAGCCTCAGGAGCTCTCTTCTCTCACCGCCCCCCGACCTTGTGCAGGGTGACCCCAGGTCAGGGACTGGCACAGAGAGGTGCTCTCTGCTGGTCCCAACAGCTCTGTCATGTGTCTTGCCTTGGCACAGTGATACTGTCGGCTGAAGCCTTGGCGTTGCGGCGAGCCAAGCAGGCCCAGCGGCGGGCGCAGCAAACACCTCTGCAGCTGAGCAAGGAGCAGAAAGAGCTGGTCCAGACACTCCTGGGGGCCCACTCGCGGCACATAGGCACCGTGTTCCATCAGTTTGTGCAGTTCAGGGTGAGCATGTACAGGATTTGGGCTGGAATGTGACCAAAGGGTGCCCCAGGAGGCCGGCTAGAGGGAGAGGGGTGTGCCATGCACCAGTACAGAGGACAGACTTTAGAACCCCAGCCTGGGCAGGCTGCTCAGCATGGCACCCTTCTAAGATACAGCTGGTGAGGCCCACAGGAGCGTGCCAGGGCTGGGGTGTTCTGCTCACGTTCTGACCCCTGCAGCCTCCGGAACACCTGTTCATCCATCACCAGCCCTCACCCACCCTGGCCCCTGTGCAGCCTCTGCTCATGCACATTGCAGACATCAACACTTTCATGGTGCAGCAAATCGTCAAGTTCACCAAGGATCTGCCCCTCTTCCGGTGAGTGACTCCCCCCCCCACCTTTTTTTTTTTTTTTAATTTTTTTAGGTTTTTGCCATAGGGTGCTTGTGCTCATTGGGGAGACAGAGAAACCACCTCCCAGCAAGGATGGCTATGCTGCAAACCCTTCTCCTCTGTTCTCCTCTCAGGATCTTGGGCATGCATGCACATGCACCCAGTGAGTTTCAAGCCACTGGTTCTAGGACTTGAACTGCAGTAGGCTGTGTGGGAGTCCGGCACCTTAACCACCACACCACCTGCTGGCCCCTTTCCCTCCCCTTATCTTTCAGGAGGCAACATGTCAGTAAATTATATACCCAAAAAAGTCACGGACCAAATTAACACATCTCTCAGTCTTTCCGACCTCCAGGTCTCCAATCCCAACTTTGTTTGGAAATGTGTCAATCAGGACTGGGAGGGCCTCTCCTCTGAAGTTCACACTTGGAGTCTAAAGGGCCTTTGCTTCCTGGTGCCCTCAGGTCCCTGTCCATGGAAGACCAGATCTCCCTTCTCAAGGGAGCAGCCGTGGAAATCTGTCACATCGCACTCAATACCACCTTCTGTCTCCAGACACAGAACTTCCTCTGTGGGCCCCTTCGCTACACCATGGAAGACGGAGCCCACGGTGAGATGGCTACGGCCCTACAGGGGACAGAGCCCGTGTCCTCACGGTGCATGTGTGCTGAGGTGACCTGGAGGCTCCTCTGCCTACTGTTTCCCACAGCGGGCTTCCAGGCAGACTTCCTGGAGTTGCTCTTTGGTTTCCACGGCAAGCTGCGACGGCTGCAGCTCCAGGAGCCCGAGTACGTGCTCATGGCTGCCGTGGCCCTCTTCTCTCCGGGTGAGCATCTCCCAAACCCCAGAAACGTATGCTCCACCACCTCTGCCCTGCTCAGCTCCATGAATCCATCCATCCCATACACCTGCAGAGGGTCGCTGACAGTCGGGGCACTGGGCAGGCCCTCCCCTGCCCCCCACCTTGTCCTTCCCAGCTTCCTGTCTTACAGACCGGCCAGGAGTTACCCAGCGAGAGGAGATCGAGCAGCTCCAAGAGGAGATGGCGCTGACTCTGCAGTGCTACATCAAGGGCCAGCAGCCAACGCCCCGGAGTCGGTAAGGTGGGAGGAAGGGTGGAGGAGGCACTAGGGCAGGAAGGGCTGACAGGACGCTGGGCTCAGGATGGATGCCTTCTTGCCCTTTCCTTTGGGAAACCAGGTCTCCCAAGGGGCTCTTGTCCTTCCCTCCGGCTATCCCCATCTCACGTAGCCCCAGCAGCCACAGTGCTCTTACTGCTGTTTCATCTCACTTTTTCCAGAGTTTTTATTCAGTAGAGATGCAGAGTAGTAGCTCACAGCACTCCTGAGAATGATGGCACCCATCACCTCCAGCCTCTCCAGACCACAGCAGACTTTTAAGCATCTTGCCCATCCCCTTGCCCTGGCCCTTCCTCTCCTCTCCACTGGACCCAGTCTTTCATTTTTCATTTCCCTTGAAGTTACGGTGATTCACAGTTTCATGGCCAAAGCCAGCCCTGGGTCAGCAGGTCCTGATCTGCCTGGGCTCCGAGGTATGCACCACTTTGTGTTCTTGCTCATTCTTCGATGAGCAGTTTGGCCACCAAAGGGGATGCTTTATACCACAGAACACACCTACCTTCTAGAACCTGCGCTAGCAGCCCTGACCCTCGTATTCCACACAGCTGGAGTGCTGGCCAAGGCTGGCACTTTCTTCACACTTGGCCCTCAGAGCTCTCGGTTCAGGAACAGCCAGGCTTGTGAGAGAAGACAGTGTCAGGCAGGCCCCTTTGGAACCGTCGATAATTGGTCACACCAGACCATGATTTTTTGCTAATGTTCAAGCCTAGCTTCACTGAGGGATAGTTGAGGGGATCAGAGTCTTGGGATGAGACTCCAAGTTACCTTCCTTCCTCTTTCCCCGGCGACCCCG